TTTTTATGTGTTTGTTGGCCATTTGTAATCTTCTTTGAAGAAATTTCTAAGTTTTTGGGTTTTTTTGTCTTTTTGTTGAATTGTTCTTTATGTATTTGGGATATTAGACCCTTATCAGAGACACTGTTTGTAAATATTTTCTCCCATTCTCTGAATTATCTTTTATTTCCTCAATAGTGTCCTTTAATGCACAAAAGTTACTAATTTTATGAAGCTTATTTTTCCTTTTGTTGCTTGTGCATTTGATATCTAAGAATTTGTGGTCAAATCCAAGGTCACAAAGATATACACCTGTGTTGTAGGAGTTTTATGGTTTTGCTCTTATGTAAGTCTTTGATCCATTTTCAGTATTTTTTTTATATGCTTTGAGGTAGGGATTCAACTTTATTCTTTTACCTGTAATTATCCAGTTGTCCTAGCACCATTTGTTTTTTGTTTTTCCAGCTTTTTGTACAATTTTATTTTCTCCCTTCATAATGATATGATAGCCAAATTTTGTCTTAACTGGAGGGTCTGTAAACACTGGCTTATCCAGCCCACTTAAAGGCAAGGCAAATGCTGCTTTCTGAAGTGGGTCCCACCATGGAACCTCTGGTCATCCAACCCACATCACTTTATCTTCACTATAATGTGCAGCCACTTCATTTAATCTCATTCCAGACTTTAACTTTTCCATAGGTTCCATGATTTTCCCATGTTTTTCCACACAGAATGTGTATGTCACCACCTTTGGCACGCTGAGACTTCTGTCAGAACTGTCACTCCCAGAGGCTGCTCCCCACCTCCCCTCTCTTTTCCAGAACTGCTTTTTCCCTTGGGCAGCATCTTCAAAACCTCTCAGCACCATTTGTTGAAGAGCCTGTTCTTTCCCATGATGATCTTGGCACCTTTGATGAAAATCAGTTGACCATTGACATATAGGTTTATTTCTGGACTCTGAATTCTATTCTGTTGATCTATAAGACTATCCTTACGCCTTACTGTTTTCATTGTTGTAGCTTTGTGGTAAGTTTTGAAATCAGGAAGTATGAGTCCTCTAACTTTGTCCTTTTTCAAGGTTTTTTGTTTTTTTGGTCTATTCAGAAGTCCCTTGCAATTTTGTCTGAATTTTAGGATTATCTTGTACGTTTCTGCAAAAAGGAAGTTGGAATTTTGATAAGAATTGTGTTGAGTCTGTGGAGCGCCTGGGTGGTTCAGTCAGTTAAGCATCTGCCTTCATCTCCGGTCCTGATTCCAGGGTCCTGAGATCGAGCCCTGCATTGGGCTCTCTGCTCAGCAGGGAGCCTGCTTCTCCCTCTCCCTCTGCTGCCCCCTGTGCTTATGCTCTCCCTCCCTCCCTCCCTCTCTCTCTCTCTCTCTGTCGAATAAATAAAATCTTTAAAAAAAAAA